TTTGCTAGTGTCCTGCATCACCAGTCTATTCCTCAACTTGGGCATAGTCAGGCTTTACAAAAATTCCAAGAAGAACAACCCAGAGTTGCTGCACTGGGAATATATGCTATTTAAAGGCCTCATTTCCAAGGTAGCTTGTCACACCCCACTCCACCCTGTCAGTTGTGATTCCCTGGGTACATATGAATGATGTCCTGTTCATATTTAAAATTTTCTTTTATTTTTATTGTTAGGTGCCATTGAGTCAGTACCAACTCATAGTGAATCTATACAACAGAATGAAATACAGCCTGGGGTTGTAACAATCTCACAATCCTTGCTACATTTCAGCCCATTGCTGCTGTCACTGTGCCAATCCATCTTCTTGGGGGTCTTCCTCTTTTTCTCTGGTCCTCTACTTTACCAAATATGATATCCTTCTCCAGAAACTGGCCCTTCCTGATACTATGTCTGAAGTTTGAGAGATGATGTCTGGCCATCCTGGCTTCCAAGGAGCATTCTGGAGGTACTGATTCCAACACAGATTGTTTTGTCCATGGTTTTTCAGTACTCTCCTTCAACACCATAACTCAAATGCATCAATTCTTCTACAGTCTTCCTTATTCACTGGCCAACCTTCATAGCTTATGTTGTTGTTAGGTGCTATTGAGTCAGTACCAACTCATGCCAACCTTATGCACAGCAGAACGAAACACTGCCCGATCCTGGGCCAACCTCACTATGGTTGCCACACTTGAGCCCATTGATGCTAGGATATTGAAAATACTATGGCTTGGGTCAGGCGCATCTCAGTCCTTAAATTGACATCTTTGCTCTTTTAAGAGGTCTTGTGCAGCAGATTGGCCTAATGCAATACATCATTTGATTCCAGGAGTGTTGATAGTGGATCTGAGCAAAATGAAGTCTTTGACAACTTCATTCTTTTCTCCTTTTCCCATGATATTATTTATTGATCCAGTGGTGAGGATTTTCATTTTCTTTACATTGAGGTGCAAACCATACTAAGGGCCTGTGGTCTTTGATCTTCATCAGTATTTTAAGTCCTCTTTGCTTTCAGCAAATAAGGTTGTATCATTTGCATATTACAGGTTGTTAATGAGTCTTTCTCCAATCCTATGCCACACTCTACTTCATATATTCCAGATTGTAGGATTATTTGATCAGCATACAGATTGAGTAAGTAAGGTGAAAGAATACAAGCCTGGTATACACCTTTCTTGATTTAAAATCATTTAGTATCTCTTAGTTTTGTTTGAACCACTGCCTCTTGATTTATGTATGGCTTCCTCGTGAGCACAGTCAAGTGTTTTGGAATACCCATTAATTACTAGTATGATGAAATAATTCCTTCTCAGGTTTTGGGAACACCTATTGGATATGTTCAGAATCACTCATTGACAGATGAAATAAATGGCTGTGAACATTCCTGACATAATTTTGATGGTTGTAAAGAACATATCTCTATCAAGGGGGTCTTTCTTTCCCCTTTGATAAGCTCTCTTGAAGTGACCTGTGTGCATTTGGTATGGCCTTATTCAGTTTGAACAGCTTAACTGATCTTCAGGTAGGATACCATTTTTGGTTTCTCCTCACCCTGCTGAGAAGAGCACTTTGTCAGGATTGTGTGGGCAGCATTTATGTTAGGACCTAACCCTTTAATTTCTGTGAGTGTAAAAATTGTGTGAGCTTTTCTTGGGTCATTATAAATACCGAATTTATTTAGCCGGTTTGAACCAACTTCCCATACAAATCAATTCCTTATACAAAATAATCCCTTAACATGTTATCTGAAAATGTCTTTATGTTTTGCAAAAATTACTCTAAGCCAAACCCTAAATTTACTACAAAGAACTCTGGTAGCATCGTGGTTATGAGTTGGGTTGCTAATCTCACGGTCAGCAGTTTCAAACTAGCAGTGATTCCATGGGAGAAAGATGAAGCTTTCTGCTCCTGTAAAGATTTATTTACAGCCTTGGAAATACTATACAGGGTTGCTCTGAGTTGGAACTGACTCCATGGCACATCACACCACCACCAAATTCACTACACCAAGGAATAGAAATACAGAATGCTTAAACCTACCAATGATTCACTGAAAACAATATAGCGATAATAGGTAATAAACATCAATAAAAATCAACCACTAGAAATATTGTCTCACATTTTATGTCTTTCATGATTGTCATAAAAGTTATTTGTTCATCACTTGGCTAAGGCAGTGAGTAAGATATAGATATTTGAACTTCTACTGGGACTAGATAATGCCACAATAAAGCTATAAATGACATAAAGAATTAGAGTAAATGTCAAAAGAATTAGAACTTTTATAGAAATCTAGATGAACATTGTCTTATGCAAAACTTAAAATTCTCCCCACCAAACTCCTCTACATACAGGTAACAGAAGAAGAATAGGTTTTTAAGAATATCATAAAGAAACAACATTGTTACTGAGGGAATTCGTCCTGATGGAAAACATATGCTTTCTTGTTTTTGCCATTTGGGTAGGCTCTGTGCTCTTGGTGCTGCACGTACTGTTTGAAACAGAAGGGAAATTGTTATTCTGAAGTTTGAAAAAGTCAGATTTAGTCATGCCTGGGTTTGGGATGCTGAATGCTTACTGAGCCTCACAACTTTGGAATATGTGAAAGAACAAATGAGGCTTTGCCAAGATTGATTTTCCTTTCAGACTTTTTCTTGAGTACATTTCAGAGCAGAGCACGCGTGTGGTGGTAAACAGATCCCCTGTCAGTTTTACCATTATGTGGTGACATGTTGTGGGTTAGTAGGACTGGCAGTTCATTTGCTATATATATGTATATATTTTTCCATTTCTTAATTTGAGCTTCCGATGATTTGGGGGAATTGTAGTTCTTTAAGAACAGGTTTTTATCTATAAAAGATTAAGACTTTTTTTCATGCATCAAATGAACTACTTTCTCTAAATGTGTAGGCAGCTACATGGCTATCATTTAAACAAATTAAGAAGCTGTCTTATGTATTACCACTGTAATGCTATTAAAGTACTATTTAGTTACTTACCAAGTGTTTATTGAGTGACCAAGAGAAGTTACTATTATGGTAAGTCTGGGGATTGGAAAGATACCTCAGTTTTATCCAGAGAAGAGCTGGAAGAATCAGGTTTGGCAACCATACAAAAACATTATTTTCTGGTGGTAAGCAGGCATGTTGTTAGTTTGGACACACCATGGTTGGACTGCCATATTATGACTTTTGCCACTTTTAGAGTTTAGGGTGAATTTCTAGTACCAAAAGAGGGAGATTGCTTAAGGATTTATCGATAGGAGAATATGATTGTGGAGAATATGTACAAAAATTCAAAGCCATAGCCTGTGCCTAAGAGGGGAGCTCAGATACTAGGAATCGGGGGCTACTCCAAACTTCATAAATCCACAATGTACTAGGCATGGTGTATTTGGAGTGCTTTATTCACCCAGAAAAGTAATGCACACCAAGTGATGTTGCCAGCATAATTGCAAGAATTGAAAATGCCCTGAATTGAATATGTGGTGGTGTTGTTGTTAACTGCTGTGGAGACAGTTTCAATTCATAGCGACCCTGTATAGGGCTTCTGAGGAGCGATTGCGAGTTTTAACTGCCGACCTTGTGGTTCAAACCCACACCATTATTGAATATTTAATGAAGCTTTTAAGTGAAGAATTGCTACACAGGTAGACCAAGTGGCCAGGATCCCAGGTTAGGTCCAGTCCCCAAGTAACTTTCTTTATTCAACAAGTGTTTATTGAATGTATACTGTGTTCCAGGTACTGGGCTAGATGCCAGGGAACAAAGATATCTGAGGCACCATCTGAACTGAGAAACTCACACTCTAGGGGAAGACAGACATGTTCCTAGTTAATGATAAGGAAATGTGATGAACCCTGCAGTAGAGGTATGAACAGTGTTGCAATGGTAGCACAGGAGAGAGAGATTTAAGAGCTAGTTAACAAAAGTCAAAGAATTTTCAAGTTGAAAGAATTGTTATAGCTTATGAAATTCTGAAAAATGCAGGAACAATTGCAACACGCCATTGTTGGGGTCCTGGTGTGGTGCTATGGGCTAATGCATCAGACTTCAAAGTTGTTTGAACTGCATGGTCGGTGGTTCAAGCTCACCAGTTGCTCCTCGAAAACCCTATACAGGGTTGCTATGGGTCGGAACCGACTTGACGACACTTAACAACAACAACAACAACTACTTAATTATTTAATTAAAATCATTTCAACACTTGTCAGACATTGTATTGAATCTATTACATTAGATGTTTGATCCTTACAAAACCCCTAAGAGTAGGTATTGGTCTTATTTCTCTTTTCAGATGAAGAACTGAAGCTCACGGTGATTAAAGGTCTTGTAAATTTTTACATACAACAGCTGGAACCAAGGTTTAAATCCACAGTCTAATTTCAAAGCTGTGTTCTTAAACTCTCTGATACTCCCATTGGTTTCTATTCTGTGAGCTACAGAGAAAAAAATAAGTTTAATTTCTGTTCCTACTAATAGCTTCTTAAATATTTCAAGAAAGCATTCATGTGTCTCCTAAACTCTCTTCTACACCTAACTCTTCTTTAGGCAGCCTGTTTCTTTAAATCAGGGCTGTAAACCATCTCTTCCTGATTCAGTCATAGCAAACTCAGTGAAACCTGGAAGAAGTCTAATTTGTAAAAGGTGGATGTACTGTAATGATAAATGGAACAGGAAAAGTTAAGTTAGAAACTTAATCTCCCTCCTAGCAAGCAAGGGGATAGTGATGTCTTAAAATCGGGAGAGGTGTGTGCCAGGGTTGTATCCTTTCACCATACTTACTCAATCTGTTATGATGAACAAATAATCTGAGAAGCTGGATTAGATGAAGAAGAAATCTTAGAAATACATTTTTTCCCTTCATTATAAAGAAATAAACCCTCTAATGGTCAGCTACATGCACCATCTGGAGTTGCAATTTGAATTAAAAACTCTTTTGGATACTTAATCTGTTAGGACTCAGCTGCAGTGTTTTGTGACCCATCCAAATATTCTGAAAGAATTAAAGCTTCCTTTGAGCTATGGTTCATCAATTCATGATGCTTCTGCTTTAGAGAAAGAAAAATTTGAAAAACTGGTACTTGAGCCTGATGGGAGAGAAAAGAAAAGAAACATTTACGACCAGGGTAAAATTTTTTATAGAAGTATTTCAGGGATTTCATTAGGATTCTGTCTAGTAAATTTGAAAATATTCTAGCTAGCTCTTGTTTGGAGTCCTAGTGTGGCGCTGTGGGTTAATGTGCTGGACTGCAAGGTCCGTTTGAATTGCAAGGTTGGCAGTTCAAGCTCACGAGCTGCTCCTTGGAAACCCAATACAGGGTCGCTGTGGGTCCGAACCAACTCCACAGCACTTAACAACAACAAGAAACTCGTATTTAGTCCTTCAGTATGTGAAAGCATTTTGTGAATTCAGTGCTAAATTTCTACTGCATTCAATTTTGGAGTGTTTACTAACAGTTTCATGTTACCACCAGAGAGCAGTAGAGATTTACAGGTAGTTAATAAATAAATTCAAATGAGTTGGAATTGACTCCAGACAGTGGGCTTTATTTTGTTTTAATGAGTAAAGAAAATATCAATAAACAAGAAAGCATGGCATGTTGATTTGATTTCATTTAATTAAATTGCTAAAGTGAAAAGTCCCTGGGTGGCACAAATGGTTAAGTACCAGGATTCTAACCTGAAGATTGGTGGTTAAAAGTTACCAGAGGTGTCTCAGAAGAGAGGTCTGGTGATCTGCTTCTGAAAAGTCACAATCATGAAAACTCTGTGGGGCACAGATCTTCCTGAAACATGAGTCACCATGAGTCATCATCGACTTAATGGCAACAGTTTGCTGTTGTTAAGGAGAAAACTTTAACTCATTTGTCTTCTTCTGTACCTGCATGAATAATTTATTTTAGGAATAAAAATAAATTTATTTATTTTTTTAAATTTAGCACAAGGCTGGTCCTTATGAGTTGGAGCTTAAAGCTATCCCAACTGTTTGATATGTTAAACCTTCCCATAGTCCTTGATATCAGTCAACACTCCTCCCTTTCATCAAATTGCAGGGTTCCATAACACACTGCTACATCTCACAAAACTCACAATTGGCCAAAGAAATGGTTCACACAGCTGTAGAGGCTGGAAAGTCCTAAAACTGTAGTTCAGGGATCAATGTGGAGGAATTGTCTCACTCATGTAATCTCAGGAGCGCATGAATACAATTTGGCAGGTCAGACAGCAAGCTGTGAATGTGGATGAGCTAGTGAGTCAGGTCAGGTGATGGGATGAAAGTTCCATGAACTAGAGTTCAGTCATAATGAGCTAGATGCAAGAGCCAGAGCAAGAGAGCTCACTTGTCCAAGTTGGAGTCAGACCATGCCCCCAAGGGAAGATAAAGATAGTGACTTAAATCACACCTTATAGTAAAAACCTCCTGGTTGTTATTGTTAAGTGCTGTTGAATCAGTTCCGACTCATAGTGACCCTGCATAGGGTTTCTGAGAAGCAGCTGGTATAACATCTTCAATTTTTGTTGTTGTTGTTAGGTGCTGTCTAGTTAGTTCCAACTCATAGCGACCTCTTATACACAACAGAATGAAACATTGCCAAGTCCTGTAACAACTTCACAATTGTCATTATGCTTGAGCCCATTGCTGCTGCTACTATGCCAGTCTATCTCATGGGGGCGGGGGGGCTTCCTCTTTTTCGCCAACCCTTCACTTTACCAAACATGATATCCTTCTCCTGGGACTAGTCTCTCCGGATAATATGTCTGAAATATGAGAGACTATGTCTTGATCTAGTACCTACTTCTGACTGTATTTCTTCCACCAGAGATTTGTTTGTTCTTCTATCAGTCCTTGATATTTTATATAATATTCTCCAACACCATAACTCAAGTGCATCAATTCTTCTATGTCTTCTTTATGCATTGTCCAACTTTCAATTGTATATGTTATTGTTGTTATGTGTCGTGGAGTTGGTTCCGACTCATAGAGACCCTGTACAGGGTTTCCAAGGCTGTAAATCTTTATGGGAGCAAAAGCCTCATCTTTCTCCTGTGGAACAGCTGGTAGTTTTGAACTGCTTACTGTGAGATTAGCAGTCCTATTCATAACCACTATGACTGAAAATACCGTGGTGGGACTTCTGGCAAGATGGCAAGCCAGGAAGATGCACTATGTGGGCCCTCAACAACAAAGACACAAGAGACAAAATACAGCAGACACAGATGAAAATTCTGGCACTCTGAATTTTGGAAGAAAGGTTAGAGAAGTGGAGGGAATACTTGATGGGAGAAGAGGCCAAGCATGGACTGCAAGAGAGGGAGACTGATTAGTGAATTGCTGGCCAGACCATTTTATGAGCAGAAGGAGCCTTACAGAGCAGATTGGCATGGGTGACAGGAAAGATGTGATTTCTCCTTTATCCTCATGCTCCTGGTGACTAGAGGTGTGGTTACCTCCTACCCTCATCCACCGCAGTGCAGACCTTGCTCTCTCAGAGTTCAGAGCCACATGGTTGGGAGCCATGCCAGTGTGTGGTGGGGGCCGGTTGCACTACTTTGGTATGCTGCTTTGGTGTATGGGTTCAGGTGGGCTCAGCTCCAGACCTACAAAGCCCACAGAACCACTAGATCAGCATTTAACCTGTCACCTGTCCCATGCTTCCCTGTAATCCTAACCGACACTGAAACCAGCTTCATCAAGGGCCCCCATGAACTACTTCTGGATTAAGTGAACATAGATAACACTGAGGTCAATAGGAACTCCATCTAATGCTAGGAACTCTGCTGTCACATCCCTTCCATAACCACCTCCTTAACTCCTTGAATTGCATGTGTGTCCCAGAGATTTGTCTTCTATAGGTCCAATAATTGCACTGTTTATACAAATATGATAATCCCACAATTTCCTGGAGAAAGCAGACAATTTTAGTTTATATAAAGAAACAACAGAGAATGGCTCAAACAAATGACCAAGATGTAGAGCCAGAAAATGTTTCTGAGGAAGAAAAGGTAATAGAAATAACTGAAATATAATTTAAAAGAATGATACTTAGGTACCTTAGGAAAGATTTATAGAAAGATCAAGGAAAGCAAGGAGAACACAATAAAAAAGCTTTAGAAGAATTCAGGAAAACACTACAAGAACAAACAGATAAAGGAAATGCAAATTTTGAAACAATCAATACATATAATTAAAATGAATGTAAATTGATTAAATGTGCTAGTCAAGAGACATAAAGAGGACTCTTGAGCCCAGAGTCAGTGACATAACCACAGAGAACTAGAGTGGAGAGTGAAGTGTCCAGCGGATAAGAAGAGAGGGCATATGCATAAGAACACCCACACATGCAGATAGTACCCACTTATCCTGGCTTCAGTGACTGGATGATCAGAGCTCAACCAGAAGTAAAAATAAGAGGAAAAAAAAAAAGTATTCTCATACAATTTGATGAAC